GATATAGATTTACAAAGCGTACATATTTATTTATAATAACTTGCGAACTATTTTCTAGACAATCGTGTTAAAACTCGTCTTATCTTGGTTTTATTTTGTTCCTGGAACATAAACSAACATCTGATCCAAACGTTGTCTTTTCACAGAAACACTGCAGCTGATGGWTCCTGTCATCACTTTAGCTAAATGCTACATGCTAAAAACAATGTTTCCAGGACAGTCGAATYRAGCAGCCACAGAMTGCTAACATGCTAACATGCTAACTGCTGTAATGTTGAGACATGACCCAGGTCTGGTCCTGGTCCAGGTCTCTGGTCCTGGTCCAGGCCTCCAGCTGCTGGCAGCAGACTCACCTGGTGGAGAAGGAGGGCTGCACCTCATGTGGGTTCCTGCGGTCGGACCAGAACACCAGCAGCCTGTCGAACAGCGGCTGGATGTCGGCCACGTACGGCTTCCCTTCAGGGAAGATCCTGAGGACCCCGCCGTGCTCCTAAACAAACAAACAAACAAACAAACAAACAACAAACATCAAACAAAGGTTACTAACCTGTTATCATCAGCAGAATTAATCTCTGACATCAGGGTAAACACAGTGTGTTAGTAAAATATCTCCTGTAAGAGTGGGCAGGCTGAGTCATCTGTGTGTGTGTGTGTGTGTGTGTGTGTGTGTGTGTGTGTGTGTGTGTGTACCTTAGGGTTCCAGTTCTTGTTCAGGTAGTAGATGCAGGTGAGGCAGCGTCCGTCCTGGTTCGGGTTGTCCACATGTTTGACGTAGCCCGCCCCGTTTCCAGGGTAACACGCCACCATGGCCTGCAGACAGACAGAACCGGGTCAGAACATCGTTTCCAYCTGATACACTGAGCTGTAACTGTGCGTCTTTATTTATTATCAGAGGATCGACTGAACCCGGGCCGGACCAGAACCACCAGCTGCACGAGTTCAGCTGTGACTCTGTTCAACAGAAGGTTATAAATAAAGTTTCATCTGAACAAATGAGTTTAAAAAACACAAGCGTTTCCTGTAAAACCTGACATCATCATCATCATCATCATCATCATCATCACAGGAAGTTCTGTGCACGTGCTCGTGCACGAGGACCAGTTAATATGGTGAACATGGGGGCGTGTCTCGAGGTTGTGAGCTTCGATATCATTCACACGTACACAATTAACACACATCACGTGTGTGTGTGTTCGTTTCTACTGCAAAGTGAGGACCTCTTCATACAGCTCTGTTGTGTTTAATAATTAGTGAGTTAAGTTAAGTTCTGTTCCACACCAACGTTATAAGTTTTACATTTTTCATTATGGTTTAGTTTTATTTTGTTTTGACTTTTTTTAAAATTCAGTTTTAATTAGTTTTTACAGTGAATTTACTACTTTTTATTAGTTATTATTACATTTTTAATGCTTAGTTTTAGTT